GAAGACCAAAGCATAGACTGCCGACTATCAGCAGTATGAAAAGATCATCCGCTCCGAAGAGCAGCAACGATCACGTCAAAAGTGCACTATGCTACGGAAAAACACACAGGTGGGTGAAGTAATGCCTCCGTCATTCCTGCAGAAGATGGCGTCCCATCAACCGCGATGCAAGCAACGGTGGCCGTAGCAGGCAAGCCCACCCGACACCAGTGACAGCCTCCGGCGTCCCGCGAGGACTGACACCCGAAGCATGCAATGAGTCGTAAGGCACATCTATAGCTAAGCCTAATCAGAGCTCTCGACACACTCAAACTCATGAGAGACGGCGCATGTCACGAAAATCTGTAAAGGCACCTGAGATCAAATTTCGCGGCTCATCATCGTCTGCCAGAGGCTCAAGAAGCGGTGCATTGAATCCCAAGTTGCAAAGTGTGGCATAGTGTGCAGCACTGAGATGCTCGATGCCACGCAAGCAGTAAGCAACACAAATGACCCGACGATCAATAGATGTCTCGGCGCAGTGAAGATGCCGCTGTGCGTTGAAGGCGACCGGGCCTTCATCAAAGCTGACACGAATGGCACGATGGGTTTCGCCTGCAAGGGTGACCCAAGAAGCCGTTGAAGCATCTGGAGATTCAATGTATAATGCACCATCTCGAAAGTAAGTAATGGGAATAACCAAGTTCATACCGTAAGCATTGCCTCGATCGCGATGCCACTTCTGAAGGGAGCCCTCCGCAATTGTGAAGCTCGTGAAGCAATGATCCGGCCAAACATCACGGATCAATGTGCAAACAGATTTCACCAGGTCTGGGTGACATGTTGTGTGCAGGCGTAGAGCAGACCGGCCACCCATGTTGCACATGCCTGCTGTGTATGACTTAATCACCACATCACGCAGCGAGCTCACAGATCTGTCTCCGGGCGAATCATCAAAGTATGACACTAGGGCTGTCATGCGATCACTGAGCGGCGGCCTGTCTATGAACAACGGCTCCTCTGTTTCATCAGCGCTTGACGGGTCCTGAAAATCAGGATGTGCTGTGCCCAGTACGCTTGGCAATTCCAGCTGCCATATGTCTGGATCCACCCCCGGAGGGGCTGTAGGTAGCATGCATGCAAATAAAACACGATCAAGACTGCAGCAGCGTCAACGCAATGCATGAAGAGGCACAGCAGTGTGCGCAGACAGACGATACTTCACCCCACTAAGAGCCTGCTAGCCACGGTGTCCGCAATGCAGTGGCTCCGGTGTGGGCACCTATAAGGGTTCACTAGGTCAGTTTGCGGAGCTTTACCTGGCTTTCGACATGCAGCGGGCACCTTTGGGCGGAGCTTTTAGCTGGCTTTGACTCCGCAAAGCCAGCTAGAAGCTCCGGAATGGACCGCGGCGGAGTCCTATATGGGCACCCATGTGTCGCAGCTAAGCACAATGAGAAAGTAAAACAACATGCGATGTGGCGAATTAAAGTGAATGTCGGCGGCAACGACTCTTTGTCGGGATGCGCCGCGCTTTGCATGTAGCACTCAGTCTGAAGCATCATCTATGCGAACCGCACCTATGAGGTAGGCCCCAGTGGAGAGATGTTCCAGGTCAGCAGGTTTGGGTTTACGAGGCTTACAACCGTCATTTGTGACATGAAACTGATACCCTGTGGGGCTGCTCACCGCGGATCGCGTGGTGCACAAAACCGTTTGGTAGTGTCCTGCATGAATGGTGGCTCCGCAATGATACAGCATGCCAGCAACGCGATATCGCACCAGGACAATGTCATGGCTCACTGTGTAACATGGTAATGCAATGGTTTCACCAGCCTCGAACACAAGCGGCGCCGCAAACTTATGCAAAGGAGCCTGCGGGTCAAAGCGCGAAAGCTGAAGCAGTAACAGCTGAGGCGGAACACGCAAGGCCTGCAGGAAACGCGTGCTCTGGGAATGCCAGTAATCAATGCATGATTGCAGGTCCGGCTTCAACTCTAACCGGATGGGCATGATGCCTGAGTCATGCAACACAAGGGCAGATGTTCGGGCCTCCCAAGTGCCGTGAAATGCTGGGATGTTGGCCCGATGAAGCAAAAATTCGGCGAATGGCACTGCATCCTGTTGCGCATGTATATCGGCTTGGACACTTCGAAGCCAGTCACGCGTGAATGTGTGCCATGGCATGCAGCTAGTTAATGCGAGCTTACGATCCGCCTTTAATGACCCAAAAGCCGCTTGCATCACGCCATAAGGCGACGGCAGGTCAAGGGAACAGGCCTGCACAAGCCAATGTATGAGCGTGACAGCTGCATTCATGTAGCAAATCTGGCCCGGGTTCAACAGAATGGGACAAGCTGGGGTTCCTGCTGGCCATGCTCTCAAAGGTCCTCGTCCTTCCTGTTGCTCTGACTGGCTGCCTGCAACAGTCCTGATGTCAGCTGTTCCAAGGTCACCGCCAGAGGTTGGCGGCGCTGACGATGCGGGCGAATGCGCGATCCGATCAGCCTCATCGCGCTGAGGTCTGAGAGCTTCTGAAAGAGTTCGTACAGCTCCTGTGCCAGAGGTCCTCGATTGCTGACCATCAACATGAAGGGCAACACGTTGCTCTTGTATTCCGCTGCCTGAGGCCTTGTAGAGTGGAACTTCTGAATGAGGATTGTCTCGGGAATCAACTGCAGCACTCGCTGAATGATGTGCAGCGCGTCCTTGTGCTGGAGGCCGACCTTTCCCGCGTCCACGACCACGGTTTCTGTGGCCGGGTCCCATTTCTGATAGCTCCAGGTTGCCGGATCGGACTCGCTGAGCCATGAGTGCTTGGAGAGGGTCGCGCGCTTGTCCTCCTTGAGAGCCATGTTCATGCGCTCGCGCAGCTCCATGAAGAGCGCCGTCAGCAGCGTGACTCGAAGGCTCTGTGTCAAGGACTCCGGGCTGTCGCGCTTCTTCGTCTGCCATGTCTGAGTGACCTGATACAGGTTGGCTGTGACGGAGAGATCCCCTGATGTGTCCAGGTACAGCATGTAGCAAGTGTCGGCTTGATAAGCTGCTAGGATGTCCTCGTGCTTCAGCATGAGCCTCGTGAGGAGTGTCAGAAGCTCTGCCACCATTTCTTCCGTCAGCACTTCCGTCTGCTGCTGGGTCGCCAGCGTCTTGTCGGAGCTCGACTGCTTGCGACCTCCCAACCCCTTGCCTCGTGAGCCCTTGGGCAGTCCGGTCTTGGGATACTTCGAGCGTTCCGCTGGTGCATCCGAATCCGCCCTGCGAGCTGACTTGGCTGCCGCTAGTGCCGGCATGGCGCTCGCGAACTGAGCTGCGATCTCCAGCTCCGCCTGGGTGGGCTCCGTCATCCGAGACCTCATTGCGGGCTATGACGTGCAGCAAGCAGGCTTGGTAATAGGCTGGGCACTTCGGCGTATGCAGGGCTCCCGACTGAGATCCGGTGGGAGCAAAAGAGCAGGCCCTGCAGACTCCCTTGTACTTGAGACGATAGTGCTGTTT